AAACACACACTCGTGTGTACGGTTGCCTCTCGAAATATACAAGAAAAAAGGAGAGAAACGTAGGTTTGGTTTTTAATATCCACCCCCGAAAACCAAACACGTCTTTCAATTTTACGTTCAAACGAGATCCTAGTGAGCGGTCTGCAAACAAACCGAATTTATCCATTTTTAATTACAACCAAAGTCTGATGCCAATATAAATAATTTTCCTTATTGTGTTTTAGGAAGGAGCGGTGCGTTAGATGTGGCCGAACAGCTTGACTGCTGGGTGAGTAAAATTATAAATTGAAACCATTCTTGAAAAAATAATGAAAGGAATAAATGATAAAGAAGCGTAGGAAGGAAAAAAGTTTGAACAGAAGAAAGGAGTTCGCTCTAATCTCTTCACAATTATTCGAGCCACGGAAACGGAAATGCTTTCTCCTCGCTTTGCGGGAAGAGGGGGAGGAATTGGTCAAATAAATGATGCGCACGTTTATATCCCATTAAGGGTGAGAGTGAACGAGGGAAGACGCACGAAATAAACACAAATAAATGCACACAAAGGCGAATGAATAAAAAAAAAGCGAATGCAGGAGGAAGCGGAAACCAAAACCTTCCAATTCCGTCGCACCCCTCTATTTAAAGGAACACATAAATCAATTTAAGCTTTTTTAAGCGAAGGAGAAAAGCGGAATCCGGGGGCGATACGAAATTGTGTATTTAATTTTGATTTTTACAATTATATTTGACTGATTTATCATGAATATTTTTCTATAGAAAGTATAAGCAAAGATATTACAGGAGTTGCCAAATTAGCATAGGAGCCAGGATTGGACCACTAATATAATTTTAACAATATAGACAAGCTAAGTCACCTAATAGTAAAGAATGATGCAATAACTTTTGAGATAGAACATAGGTTGCAATTGGCGAGCTGCCTACCTGCAATTCACATTTAATTATTTCACTATGACACTAGTAATTGACTATGATTAGGTAAGTATCAAAAGTTTGTAAAGTACACTTAGTACTATACTAGTTTTAATAATATAGGTAAAATTTAGATTTATGGGATGTTTTTCCAAGTATAAGTAGAAGTTATAGTAACAAATAGTTATCTGAACTAAGTCAAAGTACAAAAAACAGACTAAAGTAAAAAATTAAGAATAATAATGCATAATTTTACTTAAAAATACTAAGGAAACTAAGCATTGGATCTTTATCAAATAGAATACAATATTCAAGGTAGGAAAACCCACATATTTTCTTAATTCATGGTTCACTAATGAGATGAGTTGGTTGTAAACAAACGTTGAGGTTAATTAGAAATATCATTCAAATATATATTGATGAGAACAGATACTTTGATCATTTAATTTGGCTCAATAAAGTCACAAAACAATGGTAATAATATCAATCGTTGTGTGATTTTTGTCATATTACTTCATATTTGTCGATCAGACAAAAAACTTATCGTTCCATTTTTGTCACATTTCGTATATGATGTACATATGAAGAATATATGATGAAATGGAAAGGCTGTTTGTCCTAGCTTGTTTTTTCATATTATAGGTTTAAATATTTGACCGATATTTTTGTTCACCTTCATCACACTTGTTTCTATTTTTCAGAGGTAACATTATTTTTCTCTTTAAATATCTTAAATTTCTTTAAAAAATAAATATTTAAGTGGTACAAATTCGGAAACCCTCCAAAATAAGAAATTGTTTTCTTTCTAACAGTAAAAAATAAAAAGAAATATTTTAAAATTATTCATAATAAAATAATGAAACAGTATTTTTTAAGTCAATGAATATCATAAAATCTAATATAATAATGAACTTAATATTTATATTCTTTTTACTTATTATGTAAATTTTGTTTATACAATAATATATGTTGAAACAATCATAATATCATATATCAACTATACATTAAATATAAATTGTATTATTTTTTATCAGGTCGAAAATAAACCAAATAAAATAAATATTGTTTATAATATTTTTAGATTATTCTAGAATCTGTATTTGATAGGAGGTAATATTTATAACCGGCCAAAGGCGACAAGGTTCTTCAGCTGTGTTTATTGTGTGAATTCGGTGTGTGGTCCAAGAAAACTTCAACTATTGGAAATCAACTTCATTCTACTAGATTGCCATTATGTTTCTTCATTTTCCGTTCAGATCCAAATTCTTTCAGTATTATTTCCTATTTTCCCAATTAAAACCAATATTTGAAAGATTTGTAATAATTGATTTAATAATAAATATAAAACTTTCACATCTTATGTTTTTTTATTTGTGCTAACATTTTGTAAAGAACTCAAAATATCACATAGCAAAAGTTAGATGCTTGTGGTGTTAATCTTGGAAACAGAATAATAATATAAAACTACTACACGATTTAAAGAGCAAATAACAATCACAGTTGAACAAATATTTTACTCCTAACTACATATTAATTGTCAATTTATTATTAATTGTTACTTTAGAAAGTACCTATTAACAGCTTATAGTTGTTATTAATTAACTAATTTTAATTATATAAAGTTAATTTTAAAATTATCATTATCTTACATTAAATTTATAAGTAATTCATATAAATTTAAGCATATTTCATTTACATTCAATATGTAAGCAAAATAAAAACATTACCTAATACAAAAATATAGATTTATTATAATTAATAATTCATACATTGATTTCAATTGAAAACTATTTTTTTGTGAATAATTTTGAATCATATTAAAAATGTTCATTTTTGGGAATTATATTATCAAAATTAATTAAATTTGTTAATAAACCATAATAATTAGTAATTCCATAATACATACAAGATTATTCGAACGTTAGTTCAAATATTCAGTTGGATGAATCTACAGCTTTACAAGTATTTATATTTGACTTATATCTACGTTTATATCTTCTATTAAATAGTCGTTAAAAAACCTAATCCTTGAGTCTGACCGAAATAAAATTGAAATATGTATCCGTCGAAAAAGTTTTCATTCGTATGATAAAAGCATATACATTTATGTGAAAGTATTTCGTCTTATCGTACATTCATTTAACAATTTACGTATGTTAACTGAGCGCTGACAACATATAACTGAAATTGAAAAACTAAATGTAATTTAATAATATATTTTTTGGTTATACTTTTTATGTGACATTATATAAAAAAAACTTAAAACTTCGTTTCAATAATTGACAGACGTATTTAAACATTTTTTTTTAGTTCGTCGTGATTTCAGTATATTTCCTTTAATCCTTTATAGAGGGGTGTCGTGTTACGTACAAGAGGGGCAAAAAACGACACCGAAGTATAAGGTCTTAATTTGTATCAATTTTCGTTGAACGTCTCGAGAGGTGTCAGTATGGAGGCCCGATGTTTGCTGTATATCTACAGCAATGGTCGAAGCAGAGGCAAAAACAAGTAAATAAAAGCCGATGGAATAAAAGAATGTCTTGGAGGAAGAAAGAAAAAAAGAGAAACATGAAAAGGAGGTCGGGAGGAGCCAAATGAGGAGAAGCATAAGAAGAAGAAGAATAAAAGTCCCCTCGGAGTGGCATTAGTTGTTTAAAATGCATTCCTAATCTGTTTTAATCTGGCAAGCTATGAGACGACATTCACATTGTGTGTGTCCAGATTATGTGTATACAGGGTGTGACCGAAACCCGATTCTCCTCCAAAACAGAAACGCGTTAATAAGGGAACAACAAGAGCCGAAACAATAAAACGAAAAAGAAGGCGAACAAATATAAAAAAAGTATGCGTGTGTGGATGGATGGAAGGAGAGACTAGTTAGTGAAATCAGACACTTCCCTCTCTGTCGAGGAGCAACGCAGAGAGAGAAAGAGATTTGAGTTCGTATCGAATAATCCCATATTGTCTTCATTAAGAAATATGAATTCGTCGAGGTCCCACACTTTTATCTTCATCTGTAGCTTAGACTAGGTTCGTCGT